TAAAGGAGAATGGAGGCAAGGGTAATGGTTCGGTTGGTGGAGGCCATTCTGGGCCAGGGGGGAAATATGGGAAAGATAAGAAGGATAGTAGACAGCAGGGAGCCCAAAATAAGAGTATTGAAAAGCCCATAGCGAAGCCCAATGGTAAGTCAGTCCATGGTGAGGATTCTAGGGTCCGTGACCCTAACTTGAAGATTAATGAGAAGGCACACAAGTGGTTTTGTATGGGAGTCTCCTTCGATAGTTACTGGAAACGATGGTCAGAGAATAGAGACCAATTTGATAATGGTAGAAAGCAACGTTGATAGGGCAGTGGGCATGGATGATTCTGATAATAGACTTAATCGGCCTCCGGATTTGCAAATGTCAGATACTTTTGTGCCCGAAACTCAATTCTCTACTGATATGCAGGATGAGGATATGGGTCTGGGTAATGGTGTTAGTTCAGTGGATGGTGCTCAGCCTAGGGGGTGTGATAACCTGGGTACATCCCAAAATATTGTTAATGGATTTTCTCCTATGGAACTCCAGAGGGGCCGGTAATCAGCCTTTTCGTAGGAATATGAAAGACTTGTTAGTTGATGTCAAACCTACTATTGTTGCGGTGGTTGAACCTCCGATCTCTGGCTTGAAGGCTAGAAGGATGGTTCGAAGTTTCAAGTTTGGAAAGTACCATGTTATTGACCGGGTTGGATTTGCGGGCGGTATTTGGTTATTATGGGATGACAGTGTTGTGGAGGTGGAGGTTCTCCATGGAGAGCCTCAATGGCTTCATGCTATGGTGAAAGATAATAAAGGGAATGTTTTTCTGTTGTCAATAGTTTATGCTAGTCCTATAGTGGAGATAAGGCAGCAGCTGTGGCTGAAGTTAGAGGACTTAGCTTCGTCTGCTTTTTCGTTGAGCAGTGCCAACTTCTGTTCCAGAATAAGTCCCCGGTTCCTAACTCTACATGCCTGGAGCAACTGGAATAGAAAGTACAACCTCTGCTGCATCCTCTATTGATGCAGAATTCTCTTTTTCTCTCGTCACAGACGAGAACATTTCCTTTCACCCGCCCAACACCTGCAGATGAAAAGGGTCACAAGCAAGGGTGCAAGCAACTATTGAAACCTGAGCTCTCGCTTTATCATATCCCGCCGCGGATAGTTAGTTGACTATGCAAAGCTAGTAATACAGCGGGGCCAACCGCCTGTCTTTTCTTTGGCCGACTGGATAGAACACATTTGAAACCGAACAAAAGATTTTGATTGAAAAGACATGTCCAGCCGACGAAAAAGATGAAAAAAGGGCCCGTACTGTCCATTCCACGGGAAAAAGGGACTATAGGCATAGTTAACCTGGCGAAGGGGAAGGGGCCCCAGTTGTCGAGTCAGAAAGGCGCGTAGCTCAATCTACCGTTCTTTCTTTTCTCTGTTTTGTTAGGATTTCATTACCTTCGCTAGAGCGGGGAATGTTGAAGGAAACTAAATAGCTTCATAAATAGAATAGCTACTGACACCGGCCCCGGAATAGTAACTTATGCCGGTGGTTATACATCGTATAATAGAGAAAGGAGGAAGACTCTCTCTAGTAGAGACCGGAAAGTACCCACTGAATCTCGACGACTTAATATCATAGGTGAATAGTGGTTAGCAGACGATTGGGGATTGATTAGATGCGTACGATGATTTGGCTTTGGTGCCAATGTGTATCAAAGAACACCGAATCCCGGCTTTCTAGCGGTTCCCGCCTTCCCTTAAGCTTAGCTCAAGCAACTACGTTCCCGATGATGAGAGTTGAATAAGGATGTTAGAGAGTCACTTGCGTACCAGTCTCTAGCTTTTATGGAGCGGATCCGGAATGGCACCATATTACACTGCACTTGGGCTATCGCGCCTTTCCCACTCCTCGATTCTTTTCATAACACTGGCCCAACCCTTATTGCTTTAGAAAAAGTCGAAGGAAACGGATAACTGTGAGGCGAGACAAGCACTAGCCATAGAGTGTATCAGGCTGCGTATATTGACTTCCTCCTTTGCCATCGCTTTACCTATCAAAAATTCGGATTCATAAGAGACCCAGAAAGTTTCATTTCTCGGGCAGTTATTGCCTTATTTCTCACTACTTTGAAGTGGACTTAGTGTGCAATGCTCTTGAAAGAAAAAAGACCTTGATTGTAAACAATTCCCTTTCAACTTTATTCTACTACTAGAGGTAGGAGAGGGGTTTGCTATGTTAATGGCACGAAAGAGCGAAGAAAGGGTGTCTGTTGCCTTGATCAAGTCCCTACTAACTGATCACTAACCGAATCTCTACTCATTTTGTTTGATGACTTAGTTGACTTTCCGGCTTTTATTATAGGGCTTGAGGCGCTCTTCGAGCGTAGATAGAATAGGGCGCAGGTTCATCCAACTCGAAACTGCTAACTGCGAATCGCATTCTATATTAACTATTTCTCCTTTCTTTATTTTTAGGGTAAGGTCTTTTATCTGATTCTCACCTTTCTGAACACAGATGATTGGATTAGTTTGTTTGTTTAATTGATAACGATTCGATTCTGTAAGACCCTCCATACTAAAAGAAGATCTTCTTACTTCCTTTGATTTCAATCCTTCATCTCATAAAGCAGCTGGAAAAGCTTGCATTTTAAACGAATTTCTTTGATTTATCATTACGGAAATCGAGGAGCAACCAAATCAATTACGGGGATAATGCAACCTTTCTTTCGGGACACCTTATTTGTAAACACATCCTACAGACATTATTAGAAATGGGATCGTCCATTTAGGAGGTGGACTTGGATGGGCTTGGCTTGGATCATCAGAGGACGACGTTCTGAGATTCTTTTCTTTAATTTCTTTCTCTAAACCAGTGAGTCGATCTTATTATTCTTCGTCGCGTAGCGGAAGACGGTGTTATAAGAAGGGGTCACTGCGCTACGTCCCCTTCGTACTCGTAGCATCTGAGTGTAGTATTTATTCTAAAGCTTCTTTAGACGGCTGATCGGATTGAATTATGTTGATTAGTAGCTCATGATCAAAGCCTTGCTTGCTCTTCTTTTCCGATTTGTTGGAAATTTATTCTTAGGAATGTTCTTCGCGAGGTTCAAAGTCCAATCTTGTCTTGCTCAGAAACTATGTCCAGAGTGAGACTGATCCCTCCCACTGATCGATCAAGTCATTCTCAAGAAATGCTTATTGATTCCACAAACCTAGTGTGATGCAATGGACAATAGATACCCCATAATACATGAAATCCTGTACCCACAAAGGAATCAAAATATTAAGATTGACTCATTTACTTTGGAAAGTGGGATTTAGTCGTTGAATGCAGAGATGATATGATGCGTATGGTTCACCGGTGAACATAAGGAGCAGAGCCGATTGGCGATCTATTCTTTTATGAAATTTCTATCTAGTGATGAATCAACTTTAACGATTTGATTCTCATTCTTTAAAGGGCTTGGTTGAACGGCGAACGACACGAGACAGGGTCAGAGCTTTATACGCGAACCAGAGGATTGACCTTTTGAACTATATTGTCTGTGGTCCGTGTTTGGATCTGGATCCCTTCCTGAGTGAATTGTCCTCCTTTGTGCTCTTGCCAGTATTGGTGGGCCTTTCATTGCTTGGCTACCCTCCATTCGCCCTTTGGGATTATCCCGCTGCGTAGCATTTAGTATGATTCAGGGGAGATGTTTAGTTGGAAGTAAGGGCGGCTTCAACAACGCCTGGTGTTCATTCAAATTATCTCTTAATAGAAGATCTTCTCACCTTGCAATTTGATCAGAGAAGATATTAAACTGCAGAACATCTAACAGTACGTTCTAAGGATTCTTTGGGGTGGATCGGCGGGAGGTAAGGGTAGGGATTCCCTCTACCGGGACCTTAGGGAGGTACGTATGGATGCGCCCTCGTCTCGTGTGGATCACTAGTATGGATCGACTCCGGCCCCCTGGATTACCCACAAGCTGCCCCTTCAGTATTCAACTTTACAAACCCATCCTCCGGAGGCTGCCATGCAATCCGCACTTGAGGTTTCACACCACGCATAGGACATTCAAATGCCATAGCAACTTCACTCGCTAAAGCTCTTACCTTAATCGCGAGATGCAAAGGGTCCAAGCTTGAATCCTCCGAGCTAAATATAATGGAACATCGCCTTTTCCAAAGTAACCACAAGGCTGCCGTGAACAAAATCTGCCAAGGTACCAGCAGTATTATTCTCCCCACGATTCCCAAATATGTTGAAATTCAACCAAGGTACCAACTCTCCCTCTCTAAATTCACCCCAAATCTGCTGCGGAACCAATAAGTTCCAAAGAGAGAGCGCATGGGAGCAATCCTTCCATATATGTAGACTAGTCTCTGCCGAAGCCCCGCATAAGACACACCTATCAGATGCGCTCATACCCCTTTTGTGCCTCAAGCTATTTGTTAACAGCCTATCCCAATACCCGAAGCCACTCCACCAGCCTTCTCACTAGTCACATTTTTTCCACGCTTCCTATCCTTCTTTGGTCCCGAATTCTGAGTAGGTTTGTCTCCAACCACTTCCTGGTCAACTCCTTGGTCTTGCAGAGCCTTACTAGGCTAGGATCCTTTCCATTTTCCACGTCAATCTCCTGGAGAAAATGTTCAATTAGGATGGCTTTGGAAGTTGCCGATCCCGGCCCGCTGGTGCACTTTTCTGTGGCTAGCATGGCGCGGTAGACTGGTGACGAATGCGCTTCGGTACGCTTGGGGGCGAAGAAGGTGTTAGTAAGGCTCAGAGGACGAAGGCCCCAAAAGGGGGTGTGCCATAAGACGAGGAAGAGGAGCCTATATAGTTAGGCACAGTAGGGAACAAAGTCTAGTCGAATACGATACCTTACTTGGGATTATTAACATCTGGAAGAAAGAGTTCTGTGAATCAATCTCGTCGATTCGATCGCTTCTGCCATTTCACCATGAGGACGGGAAGTATCTTCCACGGATCCTTTCTTGTCTGCTAGTCAGTAGGGTTTCCAGGCGGAGCTGGGTCTTGTTGCTAGACTTGCCGAACAACTAGATAGAGTGGGGGCCAGGTCCCTAGTCAAAGGTGTGGGTCTTCCAAATACCTTCAAGAAATGCCTTCGGCTTTACGTCTCGTTCTTGCATGATATTTGTTTAACGGAATCCATTTTCTAACTAGAATGCGTACCCTTAAAAGAGTGATATAGGGAGGGATCGACACCTATTTTGTAGTACGAATTCCCCGGCCCGGAGGTGGTCAATCTCACCTTTACGGAAGCACCCATGATCGTGCGACAAAACCCTTTCTCGGCCTCATGTTCTTTTTTTGGTACAATATGAGAGATTCTACAATCTCAAGTGGAGGATTCTCCAAGTAGGTCAGCCGTCCATAATGGAAGCAGTGCCGGCGGAGGAGAGTCAAGGAAAGTCACCCCCATACCAGAGTCCTGTGCCAAAGACGCAAGGCAATCAGCGCTGCGATTACCTTCTCGCCAGATATGTCTGACCACAACATGCTCGAAACCAGCCAACAACTGCCCGAAAGAAGGTTGCCAAAAGCATACCCAACAAACGAAGCGAAGCGAAGTGAAGTCATAAAGGAAGCAAAGTGACTCCAAAGTTGGAGTCGATCTCAACCATTAGACGATGAAAGCCCACCCTCTGTGCCACCTTTAATCCCTCCTTGACACCAATGAGTTCGGCTTGAAGAACCTCAGTTCAAGCGAGGGGAAGAAGATGACTAATCAACTGGAGATCCCATGCACCATTGTATCAATTAGATCACAAACCCGCCACCCTATCTATAGGCTTCATCCGAGAGAGAGCCAAAACCTTGTCTATCAAAGGGGCCCGAGCCAACCCACCAGTCATACCATAAGCTTATCTGAAGCCCATTCCCCACCTTCCATCGAACTCCATTTCGGATGCAAACCTTGCTTTGTGCAATAGGCAACAAGACTTCGTCGCGACTCAGCAGAACATTAATTCAATGCTTCTTCTCGCATAAAAGTCAAAGGTATGTAGGTCTTCAGCCTTAACCTTGCTAGCAAGCTAGCCTTGCTACTTCCGCGGTTAGACGCCTAGCGACCGACTTCACAAGCTCACCTGCTTGCCCATATCGCCTGCTAAGTAATCAACCAACCCCAATTTTCTTTTAACACCAGCTGTTCCCTTCCTAGCAAGAGAGCAATCACGTAAAAGATGAATGACATCCTCTGATAAACGAATGGGGAAAGGTGCGGACTTGCTTGACTGCAAGGTTTGTGAGTCTCGACCAAAGGGAGAGGTAAGAAAGGCACGGCATACAACGAAGGAACTAACTAACGGCCTAGTAACCGCCGCTACAGGGAATGAGGATGAGGTCAATTACATCGAGCCAGCCCTGATAGTTAGCTTAGCTGCCCTGCCCATACGAGGTCCGGTTGAAGTGCGCCTTACCGAAAGAAGGAATAAGCGGAGTAAGCCAAGTCCGATCGATCTTAAAGCTACGAGTTCAGGGTAAAGGAGTAGGTTCGAAGGGCATACCCACATTCATAGGCACTGACTCCCATCTTTGGCAGCCTATGGGGTTTTGTATTACGAAACAAGCTACTTCGTTCGGTCTAGTCCGATACGATAGAAAGACGTGGGCTAGTTTGTCGAGAGAGGCGTTCGTATTCGACGTGAGCTTAATTCGAATGACTTTTTTTTCTTTCCGGGCCTGGGAACTTCATCAGGGGATCTTGCTCTTCCTTACCTTAAGAAATAGATAGGCTCGATAGTTTTGACCAGCCATTTTCTTGCTTGGTTGCTACGAATGAGAATCCGGGTCCCGATCGGATGAGTCATGTTCGCCAACCAGAGATGAAAAAGATTTTTTTCCCAGATTCGATAGCCAGGAAACGAAGTCAAAGAAGCGCTTCTTTTTCATAGCTTCAATCGTGGCTTACCCCTAAGAACGAAGCGAAGCGAAGTGAAGTCATAAAACTCCTAGCGTGGCGTGATCTTTTATCGTATGTAAGAAGCATGAAGGCAATCTATGTGGTTGATTCATGATTCGGTTTGGAGCGTCAGTAGTCTTCTCCCCTTTCGCCCCTTGCTTTGTATTGTATTCCTTCCCGTCTTTCCTTTGTTGGCCGAGGTCTCGCGGTCAAGCTACTTAAGTAGTCTGCCCCGGGCTAAAGTAAGCAGAGGGGAACGTCGTAGTGGTAGGTCTTCAATTCCCTCGCGGAAGGAAGGGCCTGACCCCAGGTAAGGGTCGACAAAGTTGAGAGCCGCCTACGAGTATAGATTTCCCGTTCGGTAGAAAGGTAGGACAAGAACCAGGAGTCAACTTTCCCGTCTTGGCTAAGGTGGCCCGGGATCAGGTCTTGTTTTTTTCTCTTAAAATGATCTTTTGCCCTTGTGAGAAGTGAATCAGGGGGGATCCAATCCAGAAGAAGTGAGCAAGCCTTTCAAAAAGAACTCCATATGGAAAGGCGTNCAGAGGTAGCTTATTGCCTCAGGATCGATGTAATTGAGTTGCTCTGTCATAATTGTTTTCGGTCCCTCTCCTTGCAGCAGTCGGCCTATGTTTCCGGGCGCACGCATAAAGGCATGATTAGTTCCACAAATTTCCTGCTGGAGTAAGGGGAAAAGGCTTGCAAACAGTTCTTTTCGTGAATGTTACCCGAATTCAAGTTGATTCTATTTAGCCTCTTCCTCAGAGAAGATCAAACAATTCCCAATCACGGAGCGAAGCGAAGGAGACTGGGATACTGCCGGCGGGAAGGAAATTGAAGATTTTGCCGATGGGCCATGTCCGCCTAGTACTCCCCCCGTGGGCTATAATGAGTTCATCTCTCTAAAAAACATAAACTTTGAGGCTCCCTCGTTCTCGGCTCGTTCAGATCAGTATTTCACTCTACGATGTCCAAAACTATGGAATGTGTAGACACAAATGGGTGCGAGTTGAGAAGAGCAGGTCAAACTTTTCGAAGCGAAGTGAAGTCAGTCTGTAATTGAATGAACCATGCCCTGCTGAACCCTCGCTTCATGGAATAACAATCTCCATTCCGGGTTCGCAAAGGCTCTGTAAAGTGGAGAAAGGTAACGAGAAATGAAATAAGAGATTCGAGCTGGGGCAAAGAAGGAATTGATAGAGGTGTGTCGAGAAGTTCCATACCTTCTGGATCGAGTCAATTGCCTTGCTTGTACTTATGGGTTGGTATTCAGTATACTGAATACAAGATTGAAAGGAATGCATTGGAAGTAAACTCGAGCAACTTTGGTCAGTACATAGTTTCCTTGGAAAAACCAAGACCTTTCGCAAGTCTCTCTTTTTTCTTTGGGGGAGCAGAGTAGTCAAAGAAAGAAAAAAAGAAAATGATTGTTCGTCTCTTTCAGATCCTCACAATTGCTCCTTGTGATGCAGCAGAACCATGGCAATTAGGATCTCAAGATGCAGCAACACCTATGATGCAAGGAATTATAGACTTACATCACGATATCTTTTTCTTTTTGATTCTGATTTTTGTTTTCGTATCATGGATCTTGGTTCGCGCTTTATGGCACTGGAACTATCAAAAAAATCCAATCCCGCAAAGGATTGTTCATGGAACTACTATCGAGATTCTGTGGACCATATTTCCTAGTATCATCCTGATGTTCATTGCTATACCATCATTTGCTCTCTTATATTCAATGGACGAGGTAGTAGTAGATCCAGCCATTACTATCAAAGCTATTGGACATCAATGGTATTGGACTTATGAGTATTCGGACTATAACAGTTCCGATGAACAGTCACTCACTTTTGACAGTTATACGATTCCAGAAGATGGTCCAGAATTGGGTCAATCACGTTTATTAGAAGTGGACAATAGAGTGGTTGTACCAGAAAAAAGTCATTTACGTATTATTGTAACACCTGCTGATGTACTTCATAGTTGGGCTGTACCTTCCTTAGGTGTCAAATGTGATGCTGTACCTGGTCGTTTAAATCAGACCTCTATTTCGGTACAACGAGAAGGAGTTTACTATGGTCAGTGCAGTGAAATTTGTGGAACTAATCATGCCTTTATGCGTGCGCCCGGAAACATAGGCCGACTGCTGAGCCCACTCTGGCTCAGCCGCACCACCCAGGGTGCGAGCCACCCGAGAAGCAAGCTATTACAGCGAGCGGCTGGAGCAGTATGGAGCCGAGGAGCAAGGCAGTAGATAAGATAGAAGAAGGGGCCAGACTCCCGGTGGAGGAGAGGAGACGGTTAGGATAACGAACTTGAAACGCGGAGCCCGAGCGGCCGGCGAGCGAGTGGTTAGTGGTCAATAGCGCCCTAGTTGATGGCATTCCTCTCTGCGGCTGGCACTCGAGGAACCACGGGACACTCCACACAGAGCAAGCAAGTCTTAGGGATGAGACGCCCGCGCAAGGACCTCAATTCTCATTAGGAGGTCGAACCAAGGACCTATGGAAGTCGGGGCTACCCCGTCCCCATGGGCAACGCAACAGTGGCCCTGAGGGAGGAGTTTAGAGGCCTTATAGTAGCACGGACTGATTTTTCTTTCTATAGGTCATGCGAAGGAGGCCAGTCCTCAATGTAATCGAACCTCTACAAAGACAACAGACGCTCTCAACGGCTAGGCGCCACTCTCTTTCTGAGTTATTCCAGCTTCTTTATTCTTTCGTGCCCCCGAGAACAAACAAAACAAAAAAAAGAGGGCTCAATGATCTCTTTCTTCGATAGACCGGTCCGGCGCTCCGCGTGGTTATATTCGTACATGTTCCGACTCGCCGGTCATTATGGATAGTATGGCATGGCGGGGGGGAGTTCTTCAACAATGAATTAATTTCTCGATGGGAACCCAACATCAACATAGCAGAGTGGCCAACCAAGCCAAGAATCATCGCCCGAGAAAGCAAGGATCGTAGAATATCAAATTCCCCGGTAAGAAAAGAAGCAAAGGGAGTCTGACAACTTCCTCTCAGCTGTTCACTCTTGAGAAAATGGGGGTGGAATTTCCCTTCTTTATATTATATGGTAGAGCGTAAGCTAGTCTTTGTGGAATC